GATCAATATCCATCTTGCTAATTTCCCAAGCTGTCAATTGATGGATGCGACTGTCATCCTCATATGGGGCCATCCAGCCTTACTCCTGGGACATTTCTTAGCTGCTTCCAGATCTGGGGCTCTCTCTTTACTCAGGGTAACCTGTGTTAGGACCTGATCCCCAGACAGTAGCCTCCTGGGACTCTGCAGGCTGGCCTGTGTGATTCATACCACCAAGAGCACCAAAGGTCACTCTCTCCCCAGAGCTGCTCTCAGAGGTAAGCCAATGGTTAACCTATTTGTTAATCCTTCAATGAGTGGGTCCACCTGTCCTAGGTAGGCTGTCCTCAGGGCTGGGCTTCCCCTTGTCATCTGTCCTTGTCCTCTGGAGCAGGCATTGCAGCTCAACAGGGGCCAGGACAGGACCAGGGAGGCAGGGCAGTGGGGCCCCTCCTCTGCCTCCATTTACTTTAGGCTCTGGATTAGGGGAGGGGAACCCTGTGAACTACACTCTCAGACAGAGGTGATGTTGGATCCCCACTAGGCTCTTTCTTCAAAAGGCAGAGGAAGGCTGGGAAGGAAGACCAGAGAGGGGACAGCCTCTATTCAGGCCTAGGACACCAGGACCCCAGGGGGACAAGAGCAGTGATTCCTTGTGCCCTGGGTACAGGAAGCTACAGTGGCATGACAGGGCAGGGTCAGGAAGCCTGCAAGTGGACCCCTGGCTGCCTGCCCTCTGTGCTCCCCTCTAAGGGTAGCCTGGTGGAGGCCGCTGAGGGCTCACTCCTCTAAGTCTCTTTGTCAGCTGCACCCGTGCCCACACCACACCCATGCAGCATCCACAGCTGTGGACATGCGGGAAGCTGGTGTCCGGTCTTACTGTCTTACATCGTTCAGCTCTGGGCTTTCTTGGAAAGGGCAGTTGTCAATGTCCTCTTCAGATTTCCCACACCTAGTTCTCCCCAGCAGGAGCTCCATTGAGAATACGGTCTTGGACTCCACCTAAAGTACACAGAGAGATTAATATGAGCACGCCCTCTTGCTGCACCTAAATCCCTGCAGGTGAAGACGCTGTCAGTGCAGGGAGAGGCCCAAACATGCTAATCCAGTAGGGAGCTCACTCATGGGCCTGTCATTAGTTAACTGGAGGTAAAATCCATGGGACCTTCTCCAGATTAAGAAGTTAAAAGCAAAGAGCAGGTATGCATGGTGGGTCCTGGGGCAGACACAGGCTGAGTCAGACCCCATTAATGCATCCTCTGTCTCCAGCTTCACCTCCCCATCTCCCGTGATGAGACCCAGCTTCACTCTCAGCAGGCATCTGATTCTGCAACTGCTTTCTCAGAGGATAGTACCGCATGTCCAGAAGGGTGTTGGCTGTCCAAAAGTTTTCAGCATAACCTCAGCCCTGGGACGGTGGGAGCCTCATCTAGAGCGTGTTGTCAAACCTTCCACCTGACCTCCAGCCAGAATGACACACAGTGCTCCCACTATACACAGGCACACACCCTTGGGACAATGACTTCAAGAAATAACATCTGTCTCATTGCAAAGTGTACTTTGAAATTTTTTTGGAAAACTGGGCATTTAAATGCTAAATTGTGGTAACTCTAGGAGTCTGAGTCTGCTTTCTCCTTAAGATTTACTGCTGTTTCCTGTGGATTGTAATTGTGTCTGTGTTTAGTGACTTTTCTAAACTATGTGCAGAGTGTGTTACTTGTCACATGTGGTCAAAGTCACCAAACAATTGTAACAGCAATGACGATCTTCCAAAACTAGCCCACGGGGTGCGTGTACTGGGCACGCCTTCAATGCTTAGACCACACACACCTCCATCCTGGCCACGGCTTCTTCCTTGCACTGAAGTTTAAAGTCAGGCAGAGATGCAAGTTCAGGGTAACCTCTGGTCTTTCTTGACCTGTCTCTTGTTTTTGAACAGAGCAAAGACATATCTATGAGCTGTAACTGTGTCAATTTGTGCCATTATTTTTGTTGTCATTATTTCATTTCCCAATCTCAGTTTTTAGGGAACCGATGAGAAGGTTTCATTTCTGTCTAACTCATGCAGCGGGAAAGAATCCTGTAGTGCCGGCTTCTGCCTCCCAATTATAAGCAAGACTTTGCCAAGTGAAAAGGAGAGTATGAATCTTGTGTCATGGATTCCTTGACTTGTGAGTTGTGTTTGATTGAAAATCTTTCTCAAGTGAAAATCTTTCAGAACCCAGTAGATCTCGCAAATAATTTTGCAAATAGTTGTATGGCTGAGCTGTTTGTTTGCTGTGGGTAAATAAATATGAGGAGAATGAGTCAGCTAGGTTTGATCAGAAGACAAGTGACATTTCAACAACCCAATAGGGTCCAGGCATGGTGACTCATGCCTGTAATACCAGCACTTTAGGAGACTGAGGTGGGAGGATCACTTGAGGCCAGGACTTTGAGACCAGCCTGGCCAACATGGCAAAACTCCTTCTCTACTAAAAATACAATATTAGCTGGGGCTGGTGGGGCATGCCTGTGATCTCAGCTACTTAGGACGCTGAAGCAGGAGAATTTCTTGAGCCCAGGAGGTGGCAGTTGCAGCAAAGAGGCAAGATCACACCACTGCACTCAAGCCTGGGTGACAGAGTGAGACTCTTGTTTCAAACAAAACAAAACAAAATCCGAGAAAAACAAAAACAAACAAACAAAAAACATGAAACAGTGCAACAGCGATGGATTTCACTTGTGATCACTGCTAATCAGGACACAGGTTTCAGCTATTCTGTGTCACCCACTTCCTGGAGTCGGGGCAGTTGATCGAGATGCAGGTGGCACCTGGCTCCTGCACAGCAGCTCCCCGCATGCTAGCTGCTTTCTTCCATGCCTGGTGGGTGAGGTCTCCTGTGAGCAGACACTCGGGACCTGGTATTGGATCAGGCAGCAGGACTGTCTTCACCTGCAGCTTTCTTGACCTGGCCAGTGCCATGCTAGTGTGGATAGATGCAGGGACACTCTGCCCGGGGCTGGCCCTGCTGTGATCTGGGAACAGGTGTGGGACATGGTCAGAGCAGGTCTTGTAGAATCAGTCTTGCTGACTTGGGACTGGACGTTCTATTCTATTAACTGGCAACAAGGCTAGGTTCTTGCCCATCTTGCACTGCCATAGTCTTCTCAGCCAAATTCCCCGCTCTCACCTTTTCATACTTCACCTGTCCTGCACTATTTAATGTCCATTCTTATAGCAACACAATATTATCATTTCCTCCTTCAGATTAGTTACTGCCAGGAAATTGATTTAAAAGTAACCACCTGGCCAGGCGTGGTGGCTCATATCTGTAATCCCAGCACTTTGGGAGGCCAAGGTAGGCGGATCATGAGGTCAAGAGATTGAGCCCATCCTGGCCAACATGGTGAAACCCCGTCTCTACTAAAAATACAAAAATTAGCTGGGCATGGTGGCATGTGCCTGTAGTCCCTGCTACTCAGGAAGCTGAGGCAGGAGAATTGCTTGAACCCGGGAGGCGGAGGTGGCAGTGAACTGAGATCACGTGTCACTGCACTCCAGCCTGGCGACAGAGCGAGACTCCTTCTCAAAAAAAAAAAAAAAAAAAAAAAGTAACCACCTAACATCACCTAAGTGTTGGCAAAATATCTCGCTCTAGAACACCAAGAAGGATAGTCAGATTGAGACAAAAATGATCAAGGGTCAGAAGAATAGTCCAACCTCTATCTCACTGAGAGAGAAACATGTGCTCTCCCGGGCACGTGTTTAAAAATTTGATCTAGAATGGTGCTCCAGTCATAAAACGTTTAAGTGTCTGTGGTGGGGCTGCAGTTGTCGGGAGGTGAGCCCTGTAGGAACTTTGGCTCTGGCTCAGATGGGACCGGGGCTGACAAGGCTTAGAAATGCATGCAGGGCTGGGCTTGGCATGACCAGGCTGGGGCCTCAGGACTTGGGTCTCTGTCTTTCCTGTCCTTTTCTCACAATACTCATTGTCCCTTCCAGGTCAAAATGGTTGATAAAAGTTGCCATTTTTTTTCTTAGCATTTTTTCCCTTGGTTCACAGAGTAGAACTGCTGAGATATTAGACAACAAAAGAACAAACTGATATCTTAGTTATTTTTCTGAACAGCGGAGATCCTTTTTTTGTTTGGGTGAAGGAGGAGAGAGTGAGAGTCGAGATTTCCCCAGGTCTTATCTCAGTTTGCTGTGGGAGGTGAAGGCACAGAATCATCCGAGGACACCAGGCACCTGAGGGCACCCCGAGTCTGTTGAAGAAGCTTTCATAGCTAGTGGCAGAGAGTAGCTCCTCTCCTGCCTGTGCCTGGCACTGCGTTAGAGAGAAGAGGGCAGAAGGAAGGCAGATGAGTGACTCCACATACAGAGCTGCCTTCCTTTCATCCAGGATTCTGTCCCTCCTGTCCTGCAGAACTGCCTGTCACCAGTGTGGGGTGAGACAAGTTTGTCTCACAGAGCTGTCTTCTCCTTGGAGTCAAGTTTGCAGCTACTCGGTGTCACCTGCTGACTCAGTTTGGCGCCTGACCACTCAGCCTGCTTCTTGAATCTTTTGGGAGGAGAGTGCAGGAACAAAGCTTTGGTGCAGTTGGTGACCTGAGAAGCTCACCTGTAGGGGCTGCAGATGACACAAAGCCAGGGGCCAGCAGATGAGCTCCCAAGGCTCAGGCCTCACAAGGAAACTGAGGGACCAGGGCTCAGCGTCCTTGTGATGCTTGCCCTCTCACCTGGTAAAAGGCAAACTCTTTACTTCCTCTTGTGGATTTCCACACATTCTGTGTGCTGCTGCTTTTTCCTTCTGTGAGTATTTCATGATTTAAAATTCACCCTGATATACAGGGCCAGCCATAAGCTGCATGGTGGAAATAAATTGCCTTGGCTGGAGGAGGCAAGGCAACGTGTGGGAAGGGACAGGGTGTCCTGGCAGAGCTGAGGACCAGTAGGAGGAGTCTGTGCCTGAGCGGATGAGATTGAGGACTGCGCCCGAGTCCCACTAACTCCTGTGGACACAGGGGCTGAGAAGAGCAAAGGCAGGGGTGGCTGCAGTCAGCACCATGCCAGGCCTGCTGCAGAGGGGGGCTCTGCCCTGGGCACTGCTGCTGCTTCTCTTAGACTTCCAGCTCCTGCTGACCCATGCCTGGCATTTCCATGAGCAAAGGGACTGTGACGAATACAATGTCATGGCTCGTTACCTCCCCGCCACAGTGGAATTTGCCATATACACCTTCAACCAACAGAGCAAGGACCACTACGCCTACAGACTGGTGCAAATCTTGAATTCCTGGAAGGAGCAGGTTGGTGACCATGTCCCCTCTTGCCCTGGCATCTGCTGCTAAGGGAGAAATGGGAGTGGGGTGGGGACAGGGGTAATTATTGAAGATTATTGTTCACCAATTATAGTCCATACTTGAGATAATACAAGGTAATTTAGTTAATTTTTGATTTTAAAAACATCTAAGGTAGCAATTTTTTAAAAAATTGATCCTAATCAACTTTCATGCAAAATGTATTGTTTAATCTTCATCTTTTTATGACATTATTTGACTGAATAATGACTTCAAAATGAGCACTACCAAGGAAACGAAGATACAGAATAAGGAAAAGGGCTAAACAGAAAATGTCCATAGAGAGAAATTGAGAAATATTTCCCCAAAATGTGATTTTAAAAAAAGGTAATTTAATTAAAAATAAAAATTAAAAAAGAACAGTACGGGTTCAGGAGCAGTAAGAAACCCCCATCAATCCCAAAAGACCTCTGGTCTGGTCAGTTTCTCTTTGCTGGTTTCTACCTTCTCTGGGCTCCTTGCTATGTCCACACTTAATAAACTGAAGGCTGTTTTACACTCTTCATCAGATCAGGTCTTAATGCTAAATGTTCTCCTTTTAATGGAGTCACTACAGAACGCAATCAGGAACACAATGTTCATCTGTACTGCAGGCATGGACAATGAAAATAGTCTCCAAGTGGAGGACTTCTATTTGTTTTGTTTTGTTTTGTTTTTGAGATGGCGTCTCGCACTGTCATCCAGGCTGGAGTGCAGTGGTATGATCTCTGCTCACTGCAACCTCCACCTCCCAGATTCGATTCTCCTGCCTCAGCTACTCCGGAGTAGCTGGGATTACAGGTGCCTGCCACATGCTTGGCTAATTTTTTGTTTTTGTTTTTTTTTTTTTTTGATTTTTTTTTTTTGAGACGGAGTTTCGCTCTTGTTGCCCAGGCTGGAGTGCAATGGCGCGATCTCGGCTCACCGCAACCTCCGCCTCCTGGGTTCAGGCAATTCTCCTGCCTCAGCCTCCTGAGTAGCTGGGATTACAGGCACGCACCACCATGCCCAGCTAATTTTTTTTGTATTTTTAGTAGAGACGGGGTTTCACCATGTTGACCAGGATGGTCTCGATCTCTTGACCTCGTGATCCACCCACCTCCGCCTCCCAAAGTGCTGGGATTACAAGCTTGAGCCACCGCGCCCGGCCTAATTTTTTGTATTTTTAGTAGAGACGGAGTTTCACTCTGTTGGCCAGGCTGGTCTTACACTCCTGACTTCATGATCAGCCTGCTTCGGCCTCCCAAAGTGCTAGGATTACTGGCGTGAGCCACCACATCCAGCCCCAGATGGTGTTTCTTGAAGCCATTGTCCCCAGGGTATGTGCCTAGGTGTAGTGGGAGAGCTGGGTGGCATTCTTGCATTTTTTTGGTTGAAGGTCAGGTGGAAAGTTTGACAACAAGCTGTGGATGAGGCTCCCTCTGGCCCAGGGCTGAGGTTACCCTGAAAACTCTTGGAGAGCCAACCCCCTCCCTGGGCACATAGCTGTGTCCTCTGGAAATGCAGCTGCGGGTTCAGACACTCGCTGAGAGTGAAGCTGGGGTCTCATCATGGGAGAGTGGGAAGCACATCTGGAAATGAGGCTACATTTGTGGGTTATGACTCAGCCTTGTCTGCCCTGGGGACACCATGCCCATCTGCTTTTTGCTCTTAACTCCCCAGTCTAAAGAAGATCTCCTGATGCCAGGCCCATAATGGAGAAGAGTGTTGGGAATTCTCCTACATCAGCAGCTACTTAAGAGCAGCAAGGGGGGCGTGTTCACATTAATCTCTCTGTGTACTGTAGGTGGAGTCCAAGACCGTATTCTCAATGGAGCTCCTGCTGGGGAGAACTAGGTGTGGGAAATTTGAAGAGGACATTGACAACTGCCCTTTCCAAGAAAGCCCAGCGCCAAACGATGTAAGACAGTAAGACCGGACACCAGCTTCCCGCATGTCCACAGCTGTGGGTGCAGCACGGGGTGTGGTGTGGGCGTGGGTGCAGCTGACAAAGAGACTTAGAGGAGTGAGCCCTCAGCGGCCTCCGCCAGGCCACTCTGCTTGTGCCTTCGTGGGGAGTGCAGAGGGCAGGCAGCCAGGGGTCCCCTTGCAGGCTCCTGGCCAATCTGAGTTTCCCGACTCTGCCCTATCATGCCACTGAAGCTGCCTGTACCCAGGGCACATGGGCTTCAGCCTGCTCTTTCCCCCAGGGTTCCCAGGCTCCTGGGCCTGAGTAGAGGCTGTCCCCTCTCTGGACTTCCTCCCCTGCCTTCTGGATGAACCTGGGATCCGACATCACCTCTGTCTGCGGATGCAGTTCTCACCTCAGGGTTTCCCTACACTGCCCTAGACTCAAAAGAGGTGGAGGCTGAGAAAGAGCCCCACTGCTCTCCCTCCCGGGCCCTGCCCAGGGCCCTTCTAAGCTGCAGCACCTGCTCTAGGGGACAGGCTTCAAGTAAAGCCTGGCTCTGGGGAAACTCTTCCTATGCTTAATCAACCCCCTAATTGTAAAATTAACAAACAGGTAGCTAATTGCTTAAATCTGGGAACTGCTTCCACTGAGACAATGCATTCTCCTGCGCTCTTGCGTCCAGGGATTACACCAGGACAGCCTGGGGTTCCCCTGAAAGCCACTGCCGGGGGGACAGAACATGGCATGGGTGTCCCTGGGTCAGAAGAGAGCTGCAGTTCAGCTCAAACCTCCAGAACTGCCCAGGACTCAGGCTTGGGGGCAGCACCTGATGGCCACAGCCTCCATCTTCCCGCTGCCTGACCTGGGAAAGGGCAATGCGGAGAGGAAGCCATTGTTGAGAGCTTGAGCTGTGAGCTTCCTGAGCCTCCCTGACCCACTGTCCCTTCCTGTTCTTCTCTCAGACTTTCACCTGCTTCTTCACCATCAGCACCAGGCCCTGGAGGACACACTTTGGCCTCCTGAACAAGACCTGCCTGGAAGGATTCCACTGAGGGAAAGCCACTCCCAGGCCTGGCTGTGTACCGCTCCCACATTCTGTGGACATCAGCACTTCTCTCCTGATGACTCTTCAGTGACGGACCAGCTCTGTACTTGCTTGTTATCCTGTTTTGCAAGCGTGTGAGATCTCAGACCAGTGTTTTAGAAAATCCACACATCTTGAGCCTATTCATGTGGTACAGATCATTAAACATCAGCATGTTCGGAAGCTTTGCGTGCTGTAGTTCTGGATGAAAGGGTGTTTGATGGAGTGTTTGATGAGTGTTTGATGGAGTTATTCTCAACAGGGCAGACAGGGAGGATCTGGGTAGATGGATTTCTGAGCAGCTCCAGGTGGCACAAGTGATGCATCTGAGCTGCTGTCTCAGGGCTCATGGCCAATAACCCATGTGGCCAGAGGCACAATGACTACCTCCTCTCAGACACCTCATGTGCATGAATGAGCTCAGACAAGGCCTCGGGCTCCCCATGTCTTGTAGCCTCTGCTCCTGAAGCGTGGCTCACATGCTTTTCCGGGTCCTTGACAGGTTGGTGGGTGGAGGAAAGTCTTCTAGGCTCATCCTCATAAAGTGATCTTGACATGTGAGGTGGCAGCAGCATCTTTGGAAAATCTCCTTAAAATGCTGAACCTCAGGGCCTCCCCACCTTTGGAAAATAAGTCTGCATTCTCATTAATCCCCAGGGGTCCATGAACCTGGATAACAACATAAGAAACATAAAAGAGCCGGGCGCGGTGGCTCAAGCCTGTAATCCCAGCACTTTGGGAGGCCGAGGCGGGTGGATCACAAGGTCAAGAGATCAAGACCATCCTGGTCAACATGGTGAAACCCCGTCTCTACTAAAAATACAAAAAATTAGCTGGGCATGGTGGCGTGTGCCTGTAATCCCAGCTACTCAGGAGGCTGAGGCAGGAGAATTGCCTGAACCCAGGAGGCGGAGGTTGCGGTGAGACGAGATTGCGCCATTGCACTCCAGCCTGGGTAACAGGAGTGAAACTCCGTCTCAAAAAAAAAAAAAAAAAACATAAAAGAGCAGCCTTAATAAGTAGAATGGAAGTTAAACAAGATATAAAGGTATAGGATTTGTTCAAGAAGGAAATCAAGACCAAGCTACTTCCTCCCAGAGGGGAGAGATTGTCCAATGTGGGATGGGCAGAGGCATGAGAGAGGCAGGAAGGGAGTGAGAGGCTTTTGGACTTACTTACAGAGGAATAACCAATTGCTTAACTTCTGAACCAGCCTAGGCAGACAGAAAACCTTCAGGAACATAGGAATTAAATTGCCCACTTTTCAGGCTCAATTACATAGGATATTTTCACAATGTTTATTGTAGTAAAAATCCCTGGAGTGATACCAGCAAGTTGACAGAATAGAAACTTTCAAAAAAATTCATCCCTTCACAAATGCCTCAGTTTGAACAACTACGCAAACATAAAATATCCTTACAGGAGCTTGTAAAACCAAGTGATAGATTTTAACACTTGGATAGTACAGAAATAAGAAAAGAACATTGAAAAGAGTAGTAAGGAGAGTTTTATATGACCCACACCATCCTTCCTCCCACTCCAGGCTGTACGATGTGGACAGAAATATCCTCCACATGAAGGAGGGTGAGTGAGTATTAAACTTTGCCTCAGATCTCAACACTGCACCTACCACAGTAAAACCAGTGCCAGGCGGTCCCACAGGACCCCAACTTTCAGGCTGGCACCATGGTCCAGGGCTACAGCCCCACCCCAACACTCAGACAGCTATTATGGTCCCAGGTTGTAGGCTAACCCAGCACTAGGTCAGCTCTGACAGATAAAGGCTCCAGGCTGGCCCCTCAGAGTCAGTCTCCAGTTACTGCAACCCTTGACTTCAGGTCAGCACCAGAAGGTATACAAGCCTGCATATACTCAAGACCATCCCCTGTGACCCTGCGCTCCAGTAAACCCAAAGTTCAGGCCTATCTTAAAAGTTTCCACTGCCAGTCCAGCCTCTGCAAACCCAGGTTCTAGAATTTCCCCGGCACACTCAGGTTCCAGGCCAGCCCCCACAGTCCCAGGACCCATATTCAGCCTGAAGGGTTGATGACACCAGATCCGAACCAGGCGCTGTGCCCCAGGCTTCAAGCCAGTCCTCATGAACCTAGCCTCCATGCCAACATGCCCACATCTAATCTCCAGACTGGCTTCTACAGACCTATGCTCCAGATGAGAACTTGCAAACCCAGGTTCTAGGACTCTCCTGCGCTGCACTGCCCCAGCACCCAGGCTGGTCCCCAGAGCACCAGGCTCAGTGAACCCAAGATCTAGACATGTTTCAGTGTATCTTGGGTCCAGAACCATACCAGTAGACTCCTGCATAAGCTTTCCCTGTGGACTAAAGCTCAGGAACCACCCCTGTGGACTCAGTCTTCAGGATAGCCTCTAAAAACCAAGGACCCAAGCCTATAGACATGGAATCAGGCTCCAGGCTTTCTCCAGGGCTAGGCTAGAATCTATAGACTCAGGCTCCAGTTCCATCACAGGCACCACTCCCATCTCAGCACCTGGATGGCCACTGCAGACGCAGACTTAGGACTTCCTCAGTGCCAAGTCAGCCTCTGTGGACTCAGGATTCAGACTTGCCCAGTTGATTCAGGCTTCAGACCCAACCACATGGAAAGAGGCTATAGAACCATCATTGTAGACCCAATCAACAGGTCAATCCTGGTGATCCCAGGCTGCAGGCTCAACCCCACAGAACCAAGCACCAGGTGAGCCTGCCCAAGAACTCCAGCATCAAGCTGGACTAATTCTGGGCATCAGATCCCTGCCCAGAATTCTGGACAGAATGATTGGTGAAAGGTTTTTCCTGTCAAAGTCAGTCTATGTTTATTAGAACAAGTGCCTACTTAAAATGCGCAGTCACCAACACATGGCCATAAGAATTGCAAACAATCAGAGAAACACGACACTATCATAAAAATAAAGCACCAGTAACTGACCCTTTAAAAAGGTGGAGATTTACAAATGTTTGACAAAAAAAAATTCAAAGTAGTTATATTTAAATGTTCAGTATGCTACAAGAGAATATTAAAATACATATAAATAAAATCAGTAAAATACACACAAATAAAATTATAAGATCAAAAAAGAGAGAAACCATAAAAAAGAACAACACAAATTCTGGAGCTAAAGACACAATGACTAACTGAAAAATTTCTTCAACAGTAGACTTGATTAACCAGACGAAAGGATCAGAGAGATTAAGAACAGGTCATTTGAAATTACCCTGTGAGATAAACAAAGCAAAAAACACAAACAGAGTAAAGAAATCCTGTAGAATTTATAAAAATTATTATCAAGCAAACGAATGAATGTTCTCCAAAGGAATATAAAAGAGGAAAAGACAAAACATCTTTAAGTAAATAATGGCAGAAAATTGTTCAAATCTAGAGCTAGAAATTAACATATAGATTCAGGAAGCCCAAATAACCCTAAATAGATTAAATATACAGTGATCTTTACCAAATACATTATAATACAATTTTCAACTGCCAAAGGCAAAGATAATTTTTGAAAGTAGCAAGAAAAAATCAACTTGTCACATACAAGAGAAGTATTTTAAGATTACCCTCTGATTTCTCAGCAGAGACCATAAAAACCAGGACAAAGCTGAATGATATATTAAATAAACTGAAATTTTTAAAAAAATTGGCAACCAAAAATACTATAAACAGCAAATCTGTCCTTCAGAAGGGAAGGACAAATAAAAATTTTCCCAAACAGATTAAACTGTGGAAGTTCATCACCACTAGACCTGCTTTAAAAGAAATACTGGCTGGGCATGGTGGCTCATACGTGTAATCCCAGCACTTCAGGAGGCTGAGGTGGGGAGATTGTGAGGTCAGGAGTTTGAGATCAGGCTGGCCAACATGGTGAATCACCCTCTCTACTAAAAGTACAAAAATTAGCCAGTAGTGGTGGCAGGTGCCTGTAATCTCAGCTACTTTGGAGGCTGAGGCAGGAGAATTGCTTGAACCCAGGAGGCAGAGATTGCAATGAGCCAAGATCATGCCTCTGCACTCCAGCCTGGGCAATCACAGTGAGACTTGATCTTTAAAAAATAAAGAAAAAAAGAAAGAAAGAAAAAAAGAAAAGAAATGCTAAAGAACATTCTTTTAGTTGAAAGAAAATAATACTCATTGGTAGCATAATAATATATGAAAATAAAAATCTCCCTGATAGTTTCTAAGTACATCCTGAAATTCAGAATACTCTAATACTATAATGGTAATGTATAAATCCCTTATATCTTTAGTATGAAGATTTTAGGACAAAACTCTTTGAAATGATAGTAGTTACAATGATTTGTTAAGGCAGTGGTCCCCAAACTTTTTGGCACCAGGGACCAGTTTCATGGAAGACAATATTTCCATGGACTGGGGGTTGAGGGGTAGGGAATGGTTTGGAATTATTCCACATCAGATCATCATTAGTTAGATTCTCATAAGGAGCATGCAGCCTAGATCCCTCGCATATGCAGCTCACACTCCTATGAGAATCTTATGCCACTGCTGACCTGACAGAAGGTAAAGTTCAGGTGGTAACGCTTTGTCAGCCACTGCTCACCTTCTTCTGTGCAGCCTGGTTTCTAAAAGGCCACAGACTAGTACCAGTTGGCAGCCCAGGAGTGGGGACCCCTGTTTTGAGGGATACACAATATTAAAAGATGTAAACTGTGACATCAAAACCACAAAATGCTGGGAGAAGAGTGTAGAGTTTTTCAACATAATTGAAGTTAGGTTATTGTCAGCTTGACATAGCCTGCTATAACTATAAGATGTTTTGCGTAAGCCTCATGGTAACCAAAACCAAAAACCTGTAGTAGATAAAGAAAGTATTAAAAGTAAAAATGCAAAACATACCACTGCATAAAATTGTCTAATCATAAAGGAAGAAAACAAGAGAGAAAGAAAAGGGACAAAATCTACGTAACAGCCAGAAAACAATGATCAAAAGGGCAGTGTAAGTTCTTATATGTCAATACTTACCTTGAATATAAATATATTATAATCTTTAATCAAAAGAAATGGAATGGCTGAATGGATAAACAAATAAGATCTGTGTCTATGCTGCTTACAAGAGATTCATTTAACCTTAAATGTATGAATAGGTGGAAAGTAAAGGGATGAAAAAAGATATTCTATGCAAACAAATCAAAAGAGAGCAGAGGTA